GCCTCCAGACGGCCCCCGTTGTCCGAGGTGAAGTACACCAGCGTGTGCTTGGTCAGGCGCTCCTGGTCCAGGGCCTCCAGGATCTTACCTGGCGGTGGTGGAAACAGGAAACTGCTCACCTGTCACGTGCACCATTGCAACCTCATCCTGTGTGGCTCTGTCTGCATTTAGTGCACGTAACAGTGTAATTACACGTAACTTTATTATAGATTACATAGGTTACATAGGAAGTCACTGTGTAATGTAGAATCCGGTAATACATGCATAGTATATATTAGGCAGCATATAAAATAATATTAAATTAATAATTTGTAATTATTTAGCACATGTTTATGATATAATAGCTAATGTGTTATCTATGTGTAGCAAACATTTTTAGTATAAATGTAATAAATAGTAAATATGTAATGTGCAGTACCATTTATTGTTATGCTATAAATATAAGATGTGCTTATATTACATTAAAATTGGAATATATGTAGTATATACCTGTAATATATAATAAGTATATTATTTATAGGTAAATATACTATTATACTCCCATATACTTTTTATATTATGAACATTATAAAATGTTCCATTACATACAAAATATATAATATGTGATATTTAAATATATAATAAAATATTTATAACTGTAAGACTTATAATTTATGAATATATAATAATATAATATATAATGATTGACAATTATGTATCATATAATAGCGTTATACAGTAACTATTTATTGTATGATAGCAATATGTTATTATGTAAGATGTAGTTGTAGTATTTAACCTGTAATATGCTATGTAATTATGTAATACTATAATTTTATTATACAATGCATAAATAAATACCTTCTACTTTACAAATTATGTAATGTATACAAACAATGGCATAATCTATACATCATGTTATAGATGATGTATACGCATACAACATGTTACAAAGTATCATATATGATATACAATATCAGCAACACCCACAACCAATAGCCAATACAAATGAGGTTCCACGGGTAAAATACACCAGCGAGTCCTAGTAAAACAGAAACAACCGTTTAAAAAAGTGACACCTCCAGAGGTCACTAGGCAAGCCCCCCCTCTTGCTCAGGAACCAGCCCCCTCAACCCTTCATGTAATTCTCGTCCCTGGCCTGCACCCCCTGAAGCCTGCACCCAAATTCTTTGTGTTTCGGTTGTGGTTAAACATCTGACGATAATGAGTATTGCTTTTAGGTGTCGACACAACCCCTTTGGAGGACACACTGTTTTTAAAAAACCGCGTGGAACGCTGCTCTAGCCGTGTCTCTGAGCCTGATGTCAGGATCCCCGACTCCTGCTGGGCAAGTGCCCGTCAACAGACAACACCGCCACCCTGGGCCGCTTAGGTCATGCTGTGTTCTCACTGGCAGCAAGCGTGTCAGCG